ACAGTATCTAGTATGGGTGGTGTTTGTTATGTGTGCTGGGTGTAGTGCTTATGTTTGTGGTATATGGGGTGTGTGTGCAATGTGTAGTCAGTGTGGTGAGTTGATATGCATCTATGTTGTGTGTAGTGTATATGGTATGCAATGTGTGTCTATGTGTGTGATCAGTGTGGTATGTGTGTGCTGTACTGTGTGTCGTGTGTGCTGTGTATCGTGTGTGGTGTTTGTCATATGTGTGATGGGGTGGTCAGCATGGTGTGTGTGTACATTGGGTGTGTGTGACATTTTCTCAAGTTTTGGCTGGGACAGTTTTGCATACAGTCACTAGTTTGAGGCAGTGGCAATCAGCCATGGGTTGTAGCAGGAGGTGTTGTGCAAATGCCCTGTGGTGGGTGGAGCTGTTGCCAGTGCACAGTGATTTCCCATGGACAGTGGGCGGGCAGCACATCATGAGCAGGTTTGCGTCTCTGAGGATTTCTTTCTTGTCTTTTGGAAATCAAGAGAACTTCTACACGAGACGTCTATCACTTCAATGTGACCCTAATTCTGTGAGCAGAAGTGTCTTTTAAAAACTGATGCATCGCCTAGCATTCTTTATTAAAAGAATTACGTGTTTTTGAATATTCAGGTTTTTAAGGATTTAAAAACATAAAGCCTGGGACAGCTTCAACACGTGTCATTGTTTCATACATACTGTGTGCACAGTATTTGCACTATATTCAACTGTTCCAGGAATGGGGGAGGGGACAGAGGAGAATGGTGGAAGGGTGAATTCAGGTATGACATATCTGATATGTTGTAAGAATTTCTGTAACTGCCACAATGTGCCCCCTACTAAAAAAAAAAAAAGAAGGAAAAAAAATAAAAATTATAGTATAAAGCCATATTACTCATTTTAAAACAGGATGGTAACAGCAATCTGAGTAAATTTGAATGACAGGTAAGAATATGGTTCATACAGACGACTAGGTGCTGCTGGATTCTAGAAGTAGCTCCAGTCAGAACAATAGAAAGAGTGACTTCAGTGTCAGGCTGTCTTTAGGTAACCCTCTAAGGATCTTAAATTTCATCTATCCAAGAAGAGGAGTAAAGATCACAAATATATGTAATGATATCCTAGTAAAATAGATGACTTTTTATTTATTTATTTATTTTGGTAGTAGAGTTTGAACTCAGGGCCTTCACCTTGAGCCACTCCACCAGCCCTTTTTTGTGAAGCGTTTTTCCAGATAGGGTCTCATGAACTATTTGCCTGGGGCTGGCTTTGAACTACAGTCCTCCTGATCTCTGCCTTCTGAGTAGCTAGGATTACAGATGTGAGTCATTGGCGCCCAGCTTGACTTTTGACTTTCATTTGTCTACACTTCAACTTTTAAAAAGTTTTTTCTTTGGATGCGATGGGTGTTGTTAAAGAGCCCTCTGCTTCAATCTGCCCTTCTGAGGGGGTGAGGGCCAGGCTACGTGTTGGTCTTTGGTCCTACAAGATTAGTGTGTCTCTGCCCCATTCTCTAGTTCAGAATGTCCCCATCTCCGACCCAACAGGTGCTGAATTCTTGTGTCAGTGCCTAGCAGGGTCTCAGTTACAAGTTTCAAGTCTGTTACAGTGAGTCTCTCTGGAGCGCCCCCCAGGGCTGTGGTGTGGGAGGTGCTAGCCTCTACTCCCAGAGCAATCAGGCCAGGGGCTTAGCTCACAGCCTCCTTGGGGACATGGTAAAAAAAAGGCGTTGCCAGTCACTGGCATTGCCTGGGCAAAAGGCCTCATTTTAATGTGACTTCTTTCTTTCGCCTGGCACCCACAGTAGAGCCTTTTGCAGCTGTGAGGTCAGTCTGATCCCCTGTGTTCTTAACCTGTGTGAGTAGAGACCTGCTGGGCAGAACATACCTGGTGATCCTGACCAGAAGTGGGCCAGGCTCTGGGGTCTTGGCTGTATTTGCCCAACTCAGAGGGGAGCATACCTGGGAGCAGTCAGACCAGCTCCAAAGTGAAGGGGAGGCATGAGGTGCTAGGGGCAAGAGGGTGCAGGAAGAGGTTGGGAGTGGAGAGCTGGGGCCTATGCAGGTGTGTGCTGGGCTGCAATGAGCAAGTCCTGGGAGGCCTTTCTTGTTTGTTGAACTGCAGCTCTGCTGTGCACCTAGCATGCTCACCAACAGGGATACCCAACTCCACAACACTGTGTTCTAAAAAAAGGGCACCAGGAGGTAGCCTCCTTCTGTCACTCCTGCTCCCATCTTGGCACCTGAGAAGTTAAATTATTCTGTCTTGCCCCCAAAGAGAAATGAGAGAGAGATGTAAGAGAAAAACAAGAGAGAGATAAGAGAAACAAGAAAGAGAAAGAGAGAGAGAGGAAGGAAAGAGAGAAAAACAAGAGAAGGCTAAAAGAGAGGGAGAAGGGAAAGGAAGAGAAAGAGGAAAAGACTTGACAGAAATGCAGGGTTCTGAAGTTCAATTTTTTATGATGCCTGAACCCAGAGTCTTGTGACTCTGCTGGTCAAGCACACCACCACTGAGCTGTGCTCCTGGGCCCAAAGATTCTGGCTTTAATGGCAACTCACTGAGCACTGTTATAATTCAACTACAGGAAGGTAAAAAGTTTCTCTCCTGAATTCTATATGGGGAATAGGAAACAGCCAACTTTTTAGGACCTATACCACATAGAACATCTAGATAGAGATTAAGGTTTGAGTGCCACCTGCAGAGTCTTGACACAGACACTCATTATTAGGAAAAGACATTCATGCTAATTTCCCCACATGCCACCTTCTCCCAGGCTCCAATTTGCTTTTTAAAGGTGTGTGAGGTTTGAGACAGCTTATACACATCTGTTCAAGTGTCAGATCACAGAAAAGACAGGGTGTCCGTGACAGGCACCCACCATAACTTGACTATCCCCACACTGCATTCGTTGGATGAGCCCACAGTCCTTGTAGCACCCTCTTACCTCCATCCATAAGGTTAGCCCAGTAGATGACCCTGAACCCCTGGAGAATACCATTCAGGGCTTCCTTGGAAAGCGTGGACCAGGAGATTGATATGCTCTCTGGTGATGTTGCTATGGCTTGGACATTTTCAGGGGGGTAACTGGGCACTGAAATTAAATAAGCAGAATCAGAATCACAGCGGTGGGTTTATGAGCAAGGCAATACTGAAGAAGCAACATAGTTTAATACTCCAGTGTGCAGACCAAAAGAAAAATTGTGCTCAATCCCCAAACCACTTCCCTCCAGATATATCTGGAATTTATACGTTTGTCATATGGGTTCCACGGTCTGTCTTTCCAGTTTATTCCCTCCTCTTTTAGGGAGGTCATCCTGGACTTGAATTGAGCCCACTTTTGAGCTTAATAATTTACTTCCCCATTTCCCTTGCAAGCCACTGCTCTCAGTTACATCTTCTTCACACATGCATCCCCTCCGGTTCAGCAGCTTTGAGCACACAAGTTGGAAGCCTAACTAGAGGAAAGCATGGGGAAGCAGAAGCACCATCAGGTCAGGTTTCCCTGACCATTCCCCCAACCCACTTTACAAAGCTATAACATTTCGTCAGAGGAGAGAGAGGCAATGAAACAAGAGTCAGGTTAGTAGAACAGTGTATTGTAGACCGTGATTTTAGGCAAATCTTCAATGTGGGAGCTAGGAGAGGATGAAAATTCTGACTGCAACACCCATCTTTATGAAAAAAACCCAACAAGGTATATTTAGCGATTTTGCACAGATTATGAAGACGGGAAATCCTGGTCTTCACATTTCTAGTGAAGAGAGGAGACTTCTCTCTCTGCAAAAGTTGTCAGAAATTACAGGGGAAAGTTGTAATTTGCTTCCTCAAATCTGTGATCAAATGGCTATTTGCAAAAGAGGTAATTACCAACTGCCCTAAAACCTGCCACTTAGAGTTGCCACTGTATGTGGAAGCATCACATGGGCCCTTGCACACCAGAGTTCTCTATTTTCAAGCATTGCTGGAAATTCTAACTTCAGGCTGTTTTTCTTGTTTTCGTGGAAGGACCAGTCAATTTTCACAGTCACTAGGGGGCACACCATCACCGTGAGATCTGCTTTAGCAAACCTGATACTGTGTTTTCTCTGGTCACAAAATGTTTGAGAATAGCAAGCAATCATCAGGAATTTAAACAAAAAAGCCTTCTTGACACTGATTTGGAAAATATTCTTAGAAAATCAGATTTCTGGACTCTAGTCAGGCTTCTGCAATGCTAGGGAGAGCCGTGGTCTCACTGAGGACTTGAGTGAGAGAGTTCTGAACAGAGAACACATTTTGGCTTTGCAATTCACATCCGTCCTTCATGAGGCTGGGCTGGATCCATGTGGTGGGTGAGGTTCTTAGGGCACAGACCCCAAGCATTGGCCAGCCAGCAGGGAGCCTTATGTGGGCTGTGAGGAGCAAAAGGGGCCCCAGAGCAAAGGGAACCCTTGGGCTATGCCCACCCAAACCCAACCTACCATCCTCGAGGGTGGTGGTGATGATTTCCTGAGAAGAAGGCCCTGTGCCGGCCCGGTTGCAGGCCTGCACCACCAGGCCATACTGGGTGAACTTATGGAGGTTGTCCAGCGTGTATACCTCACTGTCCCCAGTGGTGTCAATACTGATGATGTTGAACTGGAAGTTGCCCCCAGTGCTGTACTCTCGGTAACCTATCTGGTAGCCACGGATAATACCGTTTTGCAAGTGTTTCTTGGGAGCCTAAACAGGAAAGGAAAGAACACACTAAGGAAGACTTGTATAGAACAAGTGTAAAATCAACACCCACAGCAACCTAGGAAAATAAAAATAAAGCCAATTAATATTCATAGGTACAATTAATATTCACACACAGTTCCCTGTTTTTCCAACAGGGACACATTTAGGACTTCCAATAGTCCCTGAAACTGGATAGGACCTAACCCTATAAGTTCTATGTCTTTTCTTATATATACATACCAGTGATAAAGTTGAATTCATAATTAAACTTTCATTCAATTCTTACTACACACAGTAAGAGATTAATAGCAATAACTGAAAATAAAATGGAAAAATTACAACATTATGTTGTAATAAAAGTTATTTAAAACTTATGAAGTATTTATTTCTGGAATTTTCCATTAATACTGTCAAGGCATGTTTGATCCGGGTCATTGAAACATAGAAACAGTGTACACTAGTCCAGTGCTTGACCTTTGGACACTCCTTCTTTACCATCAAGCACACCCACCTGCCTCCCACCTCCTTTTGAAATGCTACCATGACCCTCAGTTTTTCACAGTAGGTGACCCGAGTACAAGTGGCAGAAAGAGAGTGACTTGGACACCCAGAGTCTGTGCTCTCAGCTCTTGGTCAGGCTGCTGTGATTGGCTTGTCTCCCTGTGGAGCATTCTAGAAGACAGTCTGCATTTGTAGGGTCTGGAGGTGCCCAGTGGTCACAAAGTGAGACACCCCTCATGCTTCACCAACCATGGCCACTGAGCTTGCCCCTGGGCGCTGGGAAACAGAACCAAGTTAAATACACAGGAAAGGACCTGCCCTCGTGGAGCTTACATTCTCAGGGAGTATCCCAGAATAACAGATGAAAACTGGCACGGGAGGGGGAGTGGGTCACTGTGGAGAGGGACAAAGTTCTTTTCATAAGTCCAGAGTTGCTTTGGAACATCCTGTGGTGACTGAAACAGGGAGGAGAGGCCACAGTGAACTTTGCCCTGCTGATGGAATGAGTCTACCTCATGTTGGATTTAAGACCCCAGACACTTCTCAAGAATAAGAGCCACACCAGGGGATGCTCCCAGTAATAAAGGTTTTGCAGACTTTATAGCACCTAACAAATGTGTGTGTGTGTGTGTGTGTGTGTCTGTATACAGTTGTCCCTAGGGGTCTATGGACAATTGGTTGTTTCCAGCACTCCCCTTGGATACCAAAATCTGAGAATGCTCAAGTGCCTTCTAGAAAATGGCACAGCATTTAATAGAACCTATTCACATCTTCCTGTATACGTTAAACCATCTCAAGATGACTTATAATATCCAATAAACTGAAGTGCTCTATAAATAGTGTCTAGACTGTATTATTTAAGGAAAAATGATCAAAAAGAAAGTCTATACAAGGTCAGTACAAGTGTAATTTTTTTCGCGAGTATTTTTGATCAGAAGTTGGTCGAATTCCTCAGATATGGAGGGGTGATTGGATATAACTTAAGTATAAACTATGGATTTGGATCTCTCTGAGTACAGAAAGTTTCCTCTGCCCTAAAAGTACTTATAATCCAGAAGGAGAGGGAAAATAAACACCTAGTTCCAAGAACTAGGAAGGGTTGAATGCATGGCTGGATGATGAAGGTCAACAGGCAAATGAAATTGAGATTGTGTAAGGACCCAAAAGAGGCAGAACCCAGGTGCACTGGGCCAGGGCTCAGGGGTGTGGCGGAGAGGATGTGGCTGGCAGAGCCTGCAGTAGGGACAGGGGAGAGGGTGGTCACTTGCCCAGGAGTGAGACATGACTGAAGCTCTGGGGTGGAGCTCCAGGGTGGAGAAAGTCCTTGAAAACCATCAAAATGTGAAGGCAGGAGTACAGACAGTGAGTAATCAGAAAAAGATTTTGAGCAGAGAACCAGCACTGATGAATTCAGCACACATTTATGGCTATCATCATTGAATAAGCTTACCCCAGTGAGATTAGATACCTCAGCTATCTTTGGGAGTTAGTCTGAGTGATACAATGACAGTAAAATTACATTTATTTATTTAAAAATTCCAATTGATACATATAAATTGTACATGTTTGTGGGAACATTCTTTCCTCTTTTTCTCTCTCTCTCTCTTGAAGTATTGGGACTTGAACTCTGGACTTTGCACTTGTCAGGCAAGTACTCTATTGCTATAACCATGATGCCATCCCTTTTAGCTGTGATTATTTTAGAGATAGGGTTTTGGTTTTTGCCAGGCCAGCCTGGATCACAATCCTCCTCTTTTATGCTTTCTGATCTAGATGGGATGACAGGCATGTACCACCACACGCAGATATTTTCAGTAGAGATGGGGGTCTCTTTATGACTCCCACCACACTAGTCTGGAATTACAATCTTCCTTATCTCAGCTTCCCAAGCAGCTAGGATTACAGGTGTGAGCTGAGCTGCCAGCCACATTTCTTCATTTATGGTTTGCTTAAACTCCAGTTGCTGCCCTCAATAACCAATCTGAGTTAGTACATTTGCATGGTGCTAACAGATACCCATGAAATACATAGTCATGCCAACCATTTAATTTTCTAGCCAAGTGACATAGAGTTAACTCCTCCTTTTCTCACTTTCTATGCACCCCTCAATCCACAGATGGCTTGCCTATTGCATTGATGAACTGTGGCTACTTATTCTGTTTTTAAATATATCTAAAGATGCTAGATCTTGAGAATTTGACTACACAGAAATTATTATGTAGAAACCACTGAATTTCATTTATATCTGCTAATTAATGAATGAAATTAATTTCCCTGCAAAAGTCGTCTACAAGTCAGTTCTACCAACAAAGATTTCTACTATTTCATGTCATTTTTAAATGACAAATACAGTGACTTGAGTATAAATGATAATTTTTACAAATTAAGCCCACATGTATTAACCATTAAAACTACTTCACTCCACTCCTTGCAAAGCTTTGACTGCTCTAAGAGAGTTAGAATCACATGTGGAGATTACAAAGGTCAAGGAAGTGTATTCAATGGAGCCAAATACTACCAGAAAATGTTACATAGAGCAACTGATTCTGCTAAGCTTCTACAAGTGGTCAAGGGAACAGCTTGCTGACTTGTAGTTCCTCAGACTTGGGGATGCTTCGTGCCTGTGATGTGCACAGAAATGGGGGGACATTGTCCCTCTTTTCTGCCATCATAAAAACACAGGTGTTTTTGTTCTTCTCAGTTTCAATTTTGTTTAAAATAAAAAAGAGCATTCCTTACACTTTTCTCAGAATTCAATTTTAGTCCTGCTAATTTTAGAGTAAGGGTTTGTTTGCCTATTTGATATGTCTACAAAATACCATATAGAAAATTATTTTCTTCTGCTTCGTAATAAAAGTGTAAGGCCACCATTCCTGTACAACCCTATTCACATTTCGATCTATTGTCCTAAAGTGAGGCATTTCCTCTTATGTAGTTAGTTCACAGTCGGTACAGTTTGGGGTCTGAAGTTTTCCATTCAATGTGCTATTATGACCATATTGCTATTTAATCTTTATTTCACGGTCTTAAAAAGTCACATTCCCTCAGATTGATTCAGACTGTTTGACTTCATTGATTTTTCATTGCTTAGGATATCGTTGTTCTGTAATTTATATTCTGCCACATATGCTCTGTGAAGCTCCTTTGTAATATGGCCGCTCTGCTTCTAAGTTTATTTATTGGGCTCAAGTCCCAGAACTGGATGATGGTCTTTTTTTTTGAAGTTTATGTTTCAATTGGCTGTTAATGAGACAGAATATTTTTAAATATTCTTCTGTTAGAGGTGCAGTACAATATGTGTTAACTTGAGGGGATATATTTATCTCAAGGAAAAAACAAAACACTCTCCTTTTTTTAACATTCGAATTTTGAAGAGAAATACTTTGACTAGAATGACAAGTTGTATGGTGGCAGCACTCGCTCATCTATTTTCTTTTCAGGGTACTAATGCAATGTGCAGTTGTCGTGCAGACTAAATTGTTGCACCAGGGAAGAAGTGAGAGTGATTACTTACAAATGGAACACACACGTTTAGTTTCATAGTCTACAGACCCCAACCAAGAGGCCCGAAGAAGTCTTACAGGGTAGGGGGTAGGATAAATGATGGCTTATGAGTAAAAAGCTTCCATGCTTGGTGATGAAAATGTTCAGAAATTATGATGAGGGCTCAAAACTCTGTGAACATAATGAACACTATTGAATTGTGAATTTAGTACTGTGTTATGGGGTGTTAGTCGTACTTCACTAAAGTTGCTTTTCCAAATTTAATGTTCAACAATCACCTCTAGGGTATTTTTCTATCTCAGCTGCAACACTGGCTCCCACCCACACCAACACGATCACTCCCGCCAGCCAATCAACACTCATCACTTCTACCACACCTATGCACCATCACTGTCACTGCTACCAAAGTTAACACCATGATAACCAATACCATCCCCATCACTATATCACAGCTGCCATCTCACCCAGCTTCATCAGCCTCGTCATTACCAACACAACACTACTACCTTCACCAACACACTACTGTTTTCACACTTACACCATCACCCGTAGATCTCTACCGTGAACACACATCATTACCGCCACCACCGTGTGTAATGTGACAACCATCCCTACCACTTCCTCCACATTTTCCACTACATGTGTCACTACCTCTACCAATAAGGTACAACCTCCACCATCATTACCATTACCATTACTCCCACCTCAATCTCACCATCTCCATCACTAGCCTAGTGCCCCATCACTGCCAGCTGCTACCACTGTCACTACCACCACTTCTGCTACTTCCATCTCCATTGATGACCATAGAGCAGTCACTGCAATAGGTGCCTTACATATGGCCACTCCATCTCCTTTCATCCTTTCACAGGTACCCAGAAAAGTGTAATTATCTTCCTTCACACACAAATTAACCAAATTTCAATGAGATTAAAACATCTTTCTCAAGGTAAGTGTGTACTTGGAATGCTAATGGGACTTCTCTAAAAGTTTTATTT